AGTTAATCCAGATATGTGAAACACAAGACGCTCCCAATTTCGATAGGACATCAGCTACCAAGTTACCCTCCTAATAAATGTGTTGGATTTTACAAGAGATTATAGACAACAAGTATTGTATCTCTTCCCAGTAATCTTCTAGATACCAAATACCACAAACCTTCCTCCTTAACCAATTAACGATAATCAATGAATCTATCTCCACTTCAAGACGGTTAATCCCCATCCTTTTAGCATGTCGAAGCCCATATAACAATGCCAATAGCTCAGCTCCATTATTAGTACCCTCACCAAGTTCCTCAACAAAGGCTGTGACAATATTACCTCTTTCATTTCGAATAATATCTCCAGCACCTCAAATTCCAGGATTGCCTAGGCAGCACCCATCAGTATTGAGTTTGTGCCACCCTTCAAGTGGTCGTTGCCATCTCACTACTTTAAAGTTTTTCCGTTTAATTGGCTTGTCCGAGATATTAAGCTCCCTCAACACCCATTCATCGCTTTTGTTAAATGTTCTCACTTTTTTAAGTTTTAGCCCCACCCAAAGGATCCAAACTTTAATTTTCCTCCAAGTAGCTTCTATAGATTCTCTCTTGTCCTCCATCTTGGCTGAACATCGCCACAACCATAAATGCCAGCAAATAATACTAGGAATAATACCCACTAAAGTACCTTTATGTGATGTTTGTTTTACTCTTCGGAACCAGGTTTCTACGTGCTCCCTCTACCCTCGAGTCTCTATATATTGAATTCTCAGTAAGGTTGAAGTTTTTTGCCAAATTTGTTGGGCAATGTCACCCAAGGCCAATACGTGATCCAGATCCTCATATCACCCTTGAGAGCAACACATACACTTTGATACAATAAGAATGCTTGCCTTTCGAATTTTGTCATCTACTGAGAGGCCTCCTTTCATGGCTAACCATATACTTAATGAAATCTTCTTCGGTAGTGTTGGGTGCCAAATCCATTCATGCCACTATGATATCTGTCCCTAACGTCCGGTAGCTTCCCAAGCACTTTTTGCAGAAAATTTTCCATCCAAGTTTTCAGTCCAAATCAATTTGTCTTTACTTGTCTCATATTTTCCCAATTTAACAAGAATTTCTCCCGCTTGATATCTCCCAACTAACTCTTCCAACATCCTTTCATTCCATCCGTTGTCAGCTTTAAGATCCTTGATCAAGATTTTAGGCTGTTCAACCACTAACAACCGATCGCCCAAAGGATCCATGTTTGACCATCTATCCCACCAGAACGAAACACTGCCTTCCTTCACTCGCCATCTAGATCATTTGAGAACATCTGGCATGCACTTCATAACCATCTTCCAGAATATTGATCCTTTAGTAGCATCCACATGAGATATATGTTTGTCTTTGATATATTTTGCCCTAAAAATTTTTGACCAAAGAGATGTTTCACTGAATATTTGAAAGGGAATTTACCTTCAGTGAAGTCATATTATCAAAAATACTTCTCCCCGGAATAAAAGCACCTTGCTGCATAGAAATAATTCTTGGTAGAATTAAAGCTATTCTTTTAACCAGAATTTTCGACCATGCCTTGTACATTACTGAGCATAGACTGATTGGTCTGAAATTGTCAAAACTCGAAGGGGAAGCTATCTTCGGAATTAGCACCACGTAGGATGAGGAGTAAAATCTTGGAATATCCGTACCTCGAAAGAAATCGCACACTACCTCCACAACATCTTCACCCACAATATACCAACAAGATTTATAGAAGCCAAAGCCAAATCCATCAGGCCCAGGGCTACTGTCAACTGGGATAGAAAAGACTGCTTCTTTGACCTCTTAGGGAGTAGGAAACCTTCCTATTTCCTGATTCTCTGCTTCTGAAATAGTTGGTTGGATTCAAGCTAATAAGTCTAGTTGGTCTCTTCTGGGTCTAACTCTTAATAAATTTTGGAAATAGTCAACCACTGCATGATGGATAGCTTCAGGATTTTCAAGCACCGACCCTTCTCTTAGTCTCATCTCCTTGACCTTGTGAAAGGTCCTACAATTAAATTGCTTGAAGAATTGATTGCCTACTTCACCTTTCTCAATCCACCTCTACGTTGCTATTTGTTCCAGGCGCATTCCTTCTCTCTTTTTCCAAATGTCAAGTTCTGTTTTTGTAGCAAAATAGGCATCCTCAACCTCCTCCGAATGAGCCACTCGTAGGCTAGCATCAAGCTCTTCTAACTCTTTTTCTAGCTGTTGAATGTGTTCCTGCGTCCACCTAAACACTTCTTTGTTCCATTTGCGTAGTGCAGTCCTCAACCTTTTGAGTTTTCCAGCTAGGCGCCATAAGCCACTTCCTTCTGAGTTTTCTCCCCAAACCTTAAGTACACAATCCTTAAAGCTCTCATGTGTAGTCCACATTTGTTGAAATTTAAATGATGTAGGGTCGTAGCGAACCATATGTGTCTCTAGCCAAATCAGCATTGGTGCATGGTCTGATGTGGTACGAGCTAAATATCTCATATAAAGGTTTGAGAATTGCTTCAAACAGTTAGACTCATAAAATGATCTATCCAATTTTGCCCAACTCCTAGTCCAACCTGTGTGACCATTGCACCAAGAATAAGGTTCTCCACCATCTGAGTATATTTCCATCAACCCACAGTTATCAATAAATTGATTAAAATCCTCCATAGCACCCATTGGTCTAGGTCGGCCTCCACGCCTTTCTGAATTATTTCTAATATTATGAAAATCTCCAATCACTACCCAAGGAATGTCTGAATGGTTCACCTCTTCTAATTCTGACCAAATCAGCCTTCTTTCTACAGCTGTGCATTTTGCATAAATAAAAGAAACCACCACCCTGTAATTCTCTTCTATCGCCAGACAAGTGATTTGTTGGTTACTTTTATTTATCAAATGAACCTGTACATCATAGCCCCACAAAATCCATAATTTTCCTTCTACGTCATCATTCGATAAACCAAAATTAAATCTTAGTTTCTTTTGCAAATTTTCCATTCTATCCGTCGTTTGCCAAGGCTCCGCTATTGCAACTAGTTTCAGCTTATACCTTCTCACCACCTTCCATAGCCTGCGTGTCGAGGTCCCTATACCTCGTACGTTCCAAAAGAAATAGTTACAACTCATAGATTAAGCTTAGAGGGTCTGCTTGGAACCTTTGTAGAGCTTTTGACCTTGTGTACTGTTTTCCTCGTATGCTGTTGAGCCCTTTGTTCAGAATCTAAAATACAATCACAAATATTTCCCAGTTCCTCCACAGTACCTTCCACCTCTGTATCTGAGACTATTGTATCAACCTCTGCAATTCCATGTTCCCTAGTTTCCTCTTATATCTCCTCATCAATTTCTTTGACACCTTCATCATCTTCTGTCATTTCCATTATGTGTGTTGCCATTACATTTATTTGTTCATTATTCTCAATCGTGACCAACAAATCTTCATTCAAATTTGCCTCTCTCTCCTCTATTTCTCCTTCTTCCCTTGCTTGCTCCTCATCCACCAGGTAAGACCCACCTACGGGTTTCACAGGATTGTCTCCTCCAAGCATAACAGGATTGCTCCCGCTAGTCTTCGAGGCTACAGTTCCATCCTCATCCATATTTTTGTCTCTCGCCAATTCCATCTCTATTCTCTCCTTGTTCTCCTTATTATTATCCACATCTAGGTTATATGCCATACTACTTTCACCAACCTTTGTTTTGTTAATAGCATGAAAAGTAGTCATTCCTCCACCCTCTTGCATATGTTGTTTTCCGATTCCCGCATCACTAGCCATGTCTCCATTTTTTCGTCTCCACACTTGTTTTTTAGGACTGGCAGTAACCACTATCTTCTTTCTTTGCCTCTCATGGGGTTGCTGGCCAACTCGACAAATAGCCTCCGTGTGACCCTGTCGCCTACAGTTTTTACAGTAAAATCCCATTTTTTCATATTTAACACTTTGCCAATGAGTCATTGAACCCACTATGACTGGAAAACATTCTACCGCATCAGCCAATAGATCAATCTCCACACAGATACGAGCACCAGATGCCCGCGTTCAATATAGAGTAGCATCATTTGTTCCCAAGTATCGACCAAATCGCGTTGCTAAGATTCAAAGACAGTCTGGTCGATAAAGATGCAGTGGAAGTCCAGGTAAGTATATCCATTGGGGAGCCAGTGATGACTCCCTATGGAAATCAAAATCTGGAGTCCATTTGAATAAACGGAATGAAGCCCCAGCCACAAATCTGCCCTCTTTCACCCAGGCGTGCAAGAAATCACCCTCGTTTCTCATTTGTACCAAAACATGTGATGAATCCATACTACTAACCACTGGCATTACCCGAAGTCCCCAATTCTTGGCAATGGCCGCTCTAATCAGATCTATGTTCGGTCTGTATGATAGGAATTTGAGAATTAATGCAAAACGAAATTCCTCTGCCAAACGTGTTACCTCAGCCTCCGTGAAGATGAAGCCCAAGTCTCCTTCAATCATCGCTGGTTTCCTTAATTGCAGAGGCAGGCTCGCCGAAAACTCCCCACCCACCATGGACTTCGCAGCCTTCAAGAAAGATCTCCCTTGTTGAATCGATTTTCCTCTCCATGAACTGTTTGCCGGCGCTACGGGTCCCGCCGACGTCATAGTCGCTGTTACCGGAAGACCCGGCAGTGAAGATGCCGTCGCCCAGACGGCAGCAAGAGTGAATTAATCGATTGCCCTTAAAATCTGGTTGCTAAGTTATTTTTGGAAAATGAGTTAAAAAATTTATTGTTAATATTCATTGATTGGTTCAAAATAACAATAACAAATATCCATCTTCTAATTCTCGATTTTTTTTTTCTAACTCTAAATAATTATCATGCTCTACAAGCCTTAGGTTTATCATATTTTGATTGTTTTAAAAACCTAACAAACCTTCAAACAAACTCCAAATATTTGACTTCGATTAAACACGTAGCTCAAAAGAAAAAACATCATTCAACGCCATTCTCCATTAGGATTTTCTACGAACCCTAAGATGGAGAGCAACCCTATACAAACTGAAACTGCTGCTCTTACAAGCCTCATACACAATATCATTCCCACAACTTCAAGTCCTGATGACAGTTATGATGATTATTTCTCCCGGCTTACTGATGATGAATACTTTGGCAGTTTGCCTCCGGGTTTTCGATTTGTGCCGAGTGAGGATGAGCTTATTCATGAATACTTGAACAAAAAGATTAGGAATGAGATGCTGCCTCGAAACAAGATTAACGTCCTTAACCTATACGAGTTCAACCCGGACCAACTTGCTAGTGAGATGACTTATTTAGTTAATTTGTATACATTTGTTTTGTTACTTGTTGCACGGAGAGGAAAGAATTTGTAGGGTTTTAAAAATGGAACTTTTCTTTGTAAATGTTGATTTCCTCGTGTTATTTGGTTTGCAGCTTACACCCCTGCTAGAGAGAATGAATGGTACTTCTTTACCCCAAGGAAGAGAAAGTACAAAAATGGGCATCGGCCAAATCGAGGTGCAGATAAGGGATATTGGAAAGCAACTGGGGCTGACAGACAAATCAAACGCAACGGTGAAATTATTGGATATCAAAAGGCTTTGGTTTTCTACGAGGGAAAACCTCCAAATGGTACAAAGACTTCTTGGATAATGCAAGAATATCGAGTGAATAATCCCCCACCACTCCAACAAAAGGGTGCAGATGACATGAGGGTACACTCCTTTTTCTATTTTGAAAAAAGAAATTAAATATTGAGAATTTTGAAAGAATTCTTGAATTTTCTTTTTCTAATTTCACACTTTTTTGGCGTCATTATGTCTATTCACTTACAATTACCTTGATGAATGTTTTCTTGCAGTTGGACGATTGGGTTTTGTGTAAGGTCTACAACAAAGAGGGCATCTTGAACGCCACTCAAAAACGAGTAAGGATCAGCAAAAATCAGATTCAAGAACCAAATAACACCACTGATCAAGCTGCAGCAATGCAGGAAAAAACTGATCATACACTAGTTGTTCATTCTGCTCCTCCATATAATATTCGAAATTATCAGATTCCCCATAACTTGGTTTACCCAGATGTTCAAGTTGTGCCAAAATATGGGAGTGCAAATATGTGCAGTAATCTAGAACCCATTACCACAGTGTCACCAATGTCGTCCCTTGTACCAGATCATTCGAGATGTGTGCCAGTGTCGATGGAACAACATCACGAGATTTCAAGAATTCCAACGATGGACAGTGATGAATTTTTGGATTTGGAATCTTTAATGAACCTGGAGAATGAGCCTTACGATTACACTCTATTATTCTAGCCCCTCAACGCCAATAAATCTTGTTAGTTTGCTTTAGTTATTGAATCTACATTGAACTTTGTCTTTTTAGCAGTTTTAGATGTAGGTTAATTTGCTTTAGTTATTGACATTAGACCTTTTATTTAGCAGTTGCGGTTTTTTATTTTCATTTTATGGCACTTTTATTATGAAAGCTTGGAGATATATTTTATGAACATTTTTTCATTCTGCAAATTTATATTGATGTTTAATTTGTTTTCCAATTTAAATTAGTTACCGAATATTGATTTTGGATTTAGTTCATGCATTTCATTCGCTTGTTTTGTGAATGAATATAATCTTTAAGATGGATAAAATAAAATTTTAGGTGATTTAACAAGTTTGTCATTTAACAAATTTCACAAAAGATTTTTTAAATATGTTTTTTTTTGTCATTTCAATATGGGTAGCGTTATTTCCATCCACGCTTTTTATAAGTACATCTACTTTTAAAAATAAAATTTTACTATATTTTAAATTATATATAAATTTACTTAAATAGACATAAGTAATAATGAAGGGCAATAGATATATATCCACGCTTTTTATAAGTACATCCACTTTTAAAAATAAAATTTTACTATATTTTAAATTATATATAAATTTACTTAAATAGACATAAGTAATAATGAAGGGCAATAGATATATATCCACGCTTTTTATAAGTACATCCACTTTTAAAAATAAAATCTTACTATATTTTAAATTATATATAAATTTACTTAAATAGACATAAGTAATAATGAAGGGTAATAGATATATATCCACGCTTTTTATAAGTACATCCACTTTTAAAAATAAAATCTTACTATATTTTAAATTATATATAAATTTACTTAAATAGACATAAGTAATAATGAAGGGTAATAGATATATATCCACGCTTTTTATAAGTACATCCACTTTTAAAAATAAAATCTTACTATATTTTAAATTATATATAAATTTACTTAAATAGACATAAGTAATAATGAAGGGTAATAGATATATATCCACGCTTTTTATAAGTACATCCACTTTTAAAAATAAAATTTTACTATATTTTACAATGAAATGGGACTGCCCAAAAACTTTCCTGATTTCAAATTATTGATACGAAGGATCCAAGACTTCATTCAGTAATCACGTAATGAATAAAATGGTGTGATTTCACTCGTGTTAGCAAAACTAAAACTCACACCAGGGGAAAGGCTGGCAAGCATAGACTACAGAATCCCAAAAAGTAGGGGCAAAACAAAAAATTCTTATAATATATTTTTTTCTTTTTTTTAATCCAATTTTTTTATGAAAGAGATCATTTTTGTAATTAAATTTTATAAAATTATATATATATATATATATATATATATAATCTAACAATGTTATTAAATATTGAATATATTGACTAGTTGTTTACTTTTGAAGGTCTCACATATATATTAATAAAAGTGAACATCAAGGTGACTTAGTTATTGTATTTTTAAAAAAATATTTTAAAAATTAATTTTATTTTTAAATGAAAGTCTTTAAAATAAATTTTATTTCACTCATCCTATGTGTGAATTCCTCACTATTGCACTAGATCCAAGTGAATTATATTTAAAGTTAATGTCTTTCAATTAAATTTTATGAAAGTTTATAAATATTTTAATGTAAAAATCTATAGAAGTTTGCGAAAGATTTTCAATAATTACATATAAAATATATAAAATTTCACGTATTGCACAAAAATTTCTCACTTAAAAAAGTTTATAAAAGCCTTCAAAAGTTCTAATTGAATAAATCTTGTAGGTTATCACTAATCTTGAATAATACATTGACTTTTATATTAGTCCGTTCTAGTTAATAGACACTGAGCCCGTATTTGGTACATATTCTTTAAAATTCTCAAACTCATTTTTAATCATACTTTTTCCAATAAACGTATTTTGCATGTGAATCCACAATTTTTCTGTACTTTTAAGCCATATATTCTTTCAAAAATATCAGTTTCCACAAAATTTATTCTAAAAATATCTATATCAAATGGCTTAAATCTCTCAGTTAGTTTTTTTGGTTTGTATTAATATTATTACCCACAAAATAGAATGAAATGTTGATTTATAACTCTTTCCACAAAATTCAAACTATAAATCTCAAATTCATCGAAAGCGTGTATGACAGACCAAAATTGCAAAAAAAAGTCTATTTATATAATGACTTAGTTTACTCACCTTTCTTATGAGATAGAGGGAGAGATTGATTTATCGCATTACTATTGATTTTGAATAGGTAGCAAGTATCATTATTCAACTTAAACATTATCTACTTTTTATTGAATTTGAAAGTAATATAATATTAATTTATTTAGGGTGCGATGAATTGTCAATATTTTTCTTGAAAAATGTGTTTTTCACCCAAATTGTGCTGTTTGATTGTCATTTTCTATATGAAAGATATTTTCCTATTTTTAGTTACGTGATCATATTTTTCTCAAAAATAAGGAAAACGTTTTCCTCAATATTAAGGAAAATATTTTCTTTAGAGGAGTAGGATTTTAATTTCTAAGGAATTCACTCTCTCTCTCTCTCTCTCTCTCTCTCTCTCTATCTCTCTCTCTCATCTACTCATCAATAAAAAATGAACAAGTATAATATTTTTTAGGTTGAAAATTAAATTAATCAAATACATTTAATTGACAATTTTCATGCAAATAAATTATAAGCAATTAAATTATCTAGAATTTATTTTCTTTTCATGTTTGTAATCAACCACACCCTTAGAATTGTATTCCTAACAAATTGTTGCTCTCTCTTTTAATGTATAGTTTTGCTTTCTTCAACATAGTCAAAGTTTCTTAAATTATAAATTGAACATGTTATTTGATGGCCTTCCACTCATTTCACTTATAATAACCTAAGGCTATTATGTATGTGGCTTTCTCGCTCAATATTCTTCATTGAAGTGGTCATTCTATATTATCCTTTTGAGAGGAATTTTTTTTTTTTAATAGTTCATATTCTTGTTTTCTTTCCTAGTATATCTTTTATATAATAGTCAAGACAATGGTAGCCCAGTTCACTAGCTTGTATAACTTTACCCTGAAGAAAAAGTACTACAACATTCCACTTAAAAAATGGTAGCTTGTACGCATACCTCCTTAAAGAAAATATACTACAACATTCCACCAGGCTCCAGAGCAATCTAACTAAAAAAAATGACTTAAATAACCAATGTACAATACATTATATTTAGCTCCAATTTTCAGCAAACTTTATTTTGAAAAATATCACAAAACAACATGCTTATTTCACATCATGCTATTGTATTAATCAATTGTATATCTACTATATCATATAATGATGAAATTAAAAATCCCATCTTCATAGATATCACTGAATACAACATAAATTTATATTTGTAGATTAATTAAATTTAGTTGCTTCTTATAAAAACTTCAATATCAATTGGTAATTACTGCATTATGTTCAATCAACAACAATACTAAACAATTTTAATCCTGTCATTCAAAATTAGTGAGAAATTACTTTAAAATTAAATCTCGTTTTAACAAGTTAATTGCTCATGTACAATAAAATTAATTTTTTTTTTTATAACAATCCCTCTAAAATTAGAGATGAATTATTATATTTCGTTAGAATCTATATTGATATTTGTTACTGATCATACGATATGGCCCACGTGGATGCCACACATTCATACACGTGGCAAGCATACGAGAACTGTTGCAGAATGAATCAACATCCAAAGTTGCCATGCTGGACTCTGAGGTCATGTCACTTTCAGAGCCGAACTCCTTGATTATCCGAAGCCCTCAACAATCATAAGAGAGTCTGGCAAGCGCCTCCCCATAGTTGATTGATGTGACGTGCACATTTAATGAGTGTCAGGGATGTCAGCCTAGGTTTGTAAGATGACTGACCTCTTGTCAAAAGTCTATTAGTGTAATTAATGTGCAATAAAATTGATGTTATACTAAGGGTCGGCAGATCAGGCTACTTGGATCCAATCCAACGGTAACCATGTTGGCTTGATCACTCTAAATAAGCAATTTTTGTATTGTTTAGGGGATGGATTTTTGAATGAAAAAAAAAGAACATAATATATCTCTCCCTAATCTCTATCTTCCTCAAACACTCATATTTACAGTAGACATACTATATATACATCCACATGTATACTATCTTCTAACGACACTTGTTGGTCATTTTTGGATGTTAACAATATTAATTGAAATTAGTTGTTCATCCACAACAATATTAAATAGCTCTTAATGAAATTCTATAAAATTAGAAATGAATTATTGTATTGCATTAAAATTCTATCTTGATACCAACCGAAGTTAATTGTTCATACACAACAAATTTAAAAACTAGCCATCAAAATTAGAGAGGAATTATCGTATTACTTTCTAATCTCTTGAATTATAAATTGACCATTTGAACGTGTTATTTGATTGTCAACCATTCATTTCCCTTATAATAACGGGCTATTATGTATGTGGCTTTCTTGCACCATATTCTTTATTGAAGTGATCACTCTATATTATCCTTTCATGAGGAAAATTTTGTGAGTAGTTCATATTCTTGTTTTCTTTCCTCTTCTATCTTTTATATAGTAGTCTGACCAAGATAATAATAGTTCACTAGGTTGTAGAATTTTACCCTAAAGAAAAAGTACTACAACATTCCACTGGACAAATGGTAGGTTGTACATACCACCTCAAAGAAAATATACTACAACATTCCACCAAGCTCCCGAGTAATCTAATCAAAAAATGACATTTAATTATACAATCACATTATAATTAGCTCCAATTTTCAGAAAATTTATTTTAAAAAATATCACAAAACAATATGATTAGTTTTCATCATACGATTTTACTGTGATAATCAATTGTATATTCTACTATATCATACAATGATTAGATTAAAAATACCATCTTCATATATATCACTCAATACAATACAACAAACTTGTTTTCGTTTGCATAAGGAAAAAAGTCATATTGGCACCTGTTTTTCATTGACTTGGTCATTGATGTACAGTCAAGACTGCAAGAAAATAGAAATGCAACGCGGCACAATATGAAAACACTTTTTTTTTTTTTAATAAAAAGACACAAAATGCTACAGAGATGTTCTATGAAAAATATATAATTTCATATTATAGTCACATAGTCCTTCAATATTTAAATTAAAAAGGATTTAATTGGAAAAAAAATCACTAATCTTATTATTGAACTATAACCTCTATCCTTTTATGAATTGATCATTTCTCAATTGTTCTCTAAACTGCTATATGCATTACAGTAATCCTCGCTCACATTTTTAAATGTTCACTATATTTGTAACTCTTGCTGAAGATGGTAAAAAAATTCAGTCGGAGAATTAAAACTAGCAATCAAGGGTAATTCTTTGGTGAAGTTCATAAATGTCATCGCTACTTCAAGTCTCGAATAGTCATCTGTACTAAAAATTTAAAACCGTTCTTAGTAAACCTTTGAATAACGTAGAAAACAAAAACAGTACTTTTTTAGAAGTTTCGGTGCAACTCTGAACAACCTATGTACAGATTAGACTTTAAGCCCTTGCTTGGTTTTGCTTAAATAATCGGTAAAAAAAATAATATTAATAAAAAATAAAATTAAGTTAAAATCAACAATTAATTTTAACTGCACATTCATGGACCCATAACTTTTATCAAATTTTCAACTACATATTTCATCAACTTTTATGAAAATTTGCAAAATCAAACATGGACTAAATTATCAGAATAGCTGAGTAGCTATCAGTTGGGAGTTGAATGAGCACTAAATACATTGAACCAAAAAGCCATTAATATTCTAGTTTAGGAGTTAGGGAACTTTTAAAATGGTTTTCAATTAATGCACCTCTCCATCTTAACATGTACACTTCCATGTCCGCTCTCTCTCTCTCTTCTTTCTGTATCCACTTCCTCTCTTGAGAGCGCAACTTGAGACGACTTCCCTTAAAAATAATAAAAAGTTGGGGAGAGACCTTTGTTAATTTCATCGAGATTTGGTGTAGAAATGGGTGTAATTGGAAGAAAGGAGGCTTTTCTAAGGGTTCTTTCTACCGTGTTCTTAGTGTTGACAGTTTGTCTTGTGGCATTCGATGCACAAACTAAACTTCTCTTCTATTCAGTCGTCCGAAAAGCAACGTTTAGAGACTTGAATGCTTTGTTGTAAGTTCCATTTAATTTCAATTTTCAAGAACTTTAATACTGCTATGAAGGTTAATTCTCTATCATAAATCTTAAACTATTAGAGGGATAACTCGTGTATATATTCAAATTCAGTTTTCAACATCCGATACAAACTCGATTGTTATTATTATTATTATTATTTTCATCAAATAGCTAGGTCACAGTATATCCTAGCCCTAGATTTTTCAAGAATTTTAATGCTACTAAAGAGGTAAATTCTCTATCATAAATCTTAAACTCTTAGAGAGATAACTCGTGTATTTATTAAAATTCTGTTTTCAACATCCCATACAAACTAGATTATTTTTTTCATCAAATAGGTGATGGTAAATCTTTATCTCATATTTTTCAAGAATTTTAATGCTACAACATAGGTAAATTATCTATCATAAACCTTAAACTGTGTTTGAGAGATAACTCGTGTATTTATTCAAATTTAGTTTTCAACATCCCGTACAAACTCGATTATATTTTTCATCAAATAGGTGACGGTAAATCTTAGCCCTAGATTTTTCAAGAATTTTAATGCTTACGAAGAGGTAAATTCTCTGTAAACTTTTAGAGAGATAACTCATGTATTTATTCAAATTCAATTTTCAACATCACATACAAACTCAATTTTTATTTTTATTTTTTTGTCAAAATTTGATAAGCTTTTAATTGAGATGGTGTAACACGTCACAACCTCGTGGAAACTGCACAAATTTATTACTAGGTTTAGCATCTTATAAGACTGTTTTGGAATTCTATGTATAGTGTTTTGGTATGGATTGATTCTGCTGCTGCTGTATGCAATCTGCTCCAACTATTCAGAGGTTATATTTTACCCGGTTCTAAAGAAGACCTAACAAGCAATTACAGGTATCTGGCTTGGGGTTTTTGCCTATTGGACCAGGTAATTATTTCAATTATTTAGTCCCTTGTTTGATTTAGCTAAAAGTTAAATTTTTAGTAGTTTTTTTTTTTTTTTTTTTTTTTTTTTTTTTTTTTAAACATACTATTCAACAATAATTTTTTTTTTTCTATTTTATCAACGCTAGTTTTTCTGCCATCATGAAATTAGAAACATACTTTATTTCGGGTATCATTGATTTTAGTCCTTTGTTTTTTATGTATTATGTATGATATAGATTATTCGACAATTTTAAACTAAAAAAAATATTATATTATATAATTCGATGATATCCGCAATTCGTATCCAGATTTGCCTTTACACAAAAAAAGGAAAACTACTACGTTGCCTCTTTGCATAAAGTTTGATGGTAATGTGCATTCGCTCTATTTTTATTTTTTATTTTCTTTAAAGTTTATGTGAAAGTAATTATAGAGAAATTAAAGATTACTTAGTAGTTACAATTCTAAATTGGAAAATTTTAGTTATTAATTTATTAGAATATTAGAAAAATTGAAGCGTAGGTCGCAAATTTGGGGTAATACAACATTTGAGATCCAAACCTTTCAAGATTGTAGCACTTGAGTCCCAAAGTAAATGGTTTTTGTTTACTTCACCGATTAATTATTATTATTATTTTTTATTTATTTATTTTTTTTGGTTGTAAAAGAAGATTTTACTCCTTGGTTCCAATTAAATAAGAAAAAATTAGAGAAGAAAAACTTTCCTGGTTTTTGCCTCCTTCATCCATGAACCATAAGTGCCAAGGTACCATCCCGAGTACAAGTGCGATAAAAATGAGGAAACAAAGGCAAACAAGGAAAGGCACGTAGATTGGGAAAAAAAGGTGGAAGCAGAGGATAGGGTAGCTGATAGGATTGATGGTAGGGGTCGAGGGAGTAAGTAAGGTAGACGTGTTACTTTAACAGTGATATGGTTGTAAGACCATCCACTAAAAGGTAAAAATTATTTATGTGCTACAAATTTCAAAAGTCAAAAGACTCAATTGCCATAAAGAAATAGATTTGTCACCTAATCGTGCAATTATTAGATTCCTTATTGGCAAAGGCAAACTAAGGGTTAAAAAACACGCTTTATTGGACATGTATTACGGTAATCTCACATTACATTTTTTTTTCCAACTGTATTGTACATTTAAAATGATAGGTGGTCTAATTATATGATTCACACAATCCCTCAATACTCCATCTTGTGTCAACCTTAAAACTTCAACCACACAAATTAAGGATCGTTTGGCAGAACTTTGAAAGTAAAAAATTTCTCGTGAGATTAAGAAATAAATAAAAAATTAGCCTAAGTATCTTTACCAGAAAACTCTTCTATAGGGTTTACTAAAGATGTTTTAGCATGATATGACAAAGCAATATAAAGAGAAGTAACAATTCTCACAGCAACATTTTCACCAACAAAATGTAATCCAATTCGATGGTCGAGCATGGTACCTAGGATTAAGCACATGTTTGGCTAATCTTAAAAGTAAGTTCAAGTAATCAACTTATTTTTGCACTTTCTTATATGTAATATTCTTTCACAGGCAGCAGCATACATTGTGTTCGCAGCCAATTCAGCGGCGGCTCAAGCATCAATGTTGGCAGTAACTGGTGAAAGCAGTTTTCAGTGGATGAAGGTTTGCAACAGATTCACAAGGTTTTGCATTCAAATTGTTGGGGCTTTATTATGTGCCTATTGTGCATCTATTTTCATGGCTGTGATTTCCTCAATCTCTGCTTATAATCTGTTCAGATTTTATTCTCCAAAGAAGTTCCTTTTGTTGAAGGGCAAATAAGAAGGAATTTTCTGTATAAAACTATGTAACATAAGACTTTGTTTAAATTGTCACGCACTTTAAGTAGGTTGATACTTAAGTTACGGGAATTTTTGTACTTTACCTATATATTCTTTATCTAATTTTCACAACCCAACCTCAATATGTTAAGACTTGGGGTTTTCCATCTTCTCATGACCTATATATTCTTTATCTAATTTTCACAACCCAACTTCAGTATGTTAAAATTTTGGGTTTCATTTTAAAAGATCAACCCTATTAACAGGAGCATCTCAAACTTTTATAAATTGATATATATTTTCATCTTTATTGTATGTGGGATTATATTCCTTAATATGCTTCCGCAAGATAGTGGCTTGTTTGAATAGACCAATTTTGAAATCTCTATGCTCATTTATCGAGTCTTAATCGTATCGAACCGCTCGTTGGAGCTTTATCGGTTTTGATAACATGTTAAAACTTGGAGTTCTATCTTAAATGGCCAACATTGTTAAGAGGAGTAGTACAAACTCTTATAAATTGATCAATATTTTTATCCTTATTTGATGTGAAATTATATCCCTTAATAGCTGAAAAGGCTTGCAAGCCAACCCAATAAAATAGAAATGTTATAATTCATGACTGAGATGGAGACTTTTATTTTCTGAAATTCAGTTTTCAAAATACCATATGGCAATCACGCGAAATTCATTTTTACAGCAAAGCACCCTTTTCTTTTTACTAGTGAGGAAAATGTGCATTGCACATTAGTTGGTGAATGTTAAATATAAGCCTCCGTTTGGCCCCCATTTTCTGAAAATGAAAATGGGGGAATAGTATTTTTTTGAAAAATGAGTGGTTGAAAAAGAAGGAAAAATTTTCGATTTACGTGTAATACTATTTTATGGAAGATTTATGATTGAAAATAGGAGATAGAAAAATAAAATGTAATGTAATTAAATTTAATGGGGGCCAAACGGGGGCTTAAATGTATGATGGCTGTGAATGGACATACACGACACTTCTTAAAGAAGTAGCCAATCTAATAGCAGTCAATTTCCTTCGAACTTGGCATAAAAATATTAGGAATACAATTAAACAGATAGAAATTTAACCTTGGAATTACGTAAAAAGGGGGCTCTCAAATATAAATTCTCCATAGAAATTATATAAAAAGGGCTCTCAAATATGAATTCCCCATAGAAAGAGAGTGAATTGATGGATCCAGCTGGAATTTCTACAAAAATATACTCTTAATGTACAGAATAATTATAACACTCACCAAACGAATGTCATGGCCTAACGAAGGTGTGATAACTCGAAAGAAATGGTGTGGTAGATTGATTTCGCTCAACATAAAATGTATTTATTAAACTCTTAGAAGCAATTGGAACTTAAATTTTTTTCCATACTAATCATTGTCTAAAAATGTAAAATCACATTGTAAAGTAATGTAGTTCGAAAGAATAAAACTCAATTGATCTCATTTAAAACACAAAAAGTCGATGAAAAAAATAAAATTAATGTTTAGTTTTTTTAACAAGTCGATGGAAATTAAAGCAAACTAATTAAGAGCGTTAAGCATAAGGAACACTCTAGGGGACACCAAATTTGAACTCGAAATTATAAGAATGATGGATGAGCAATAACCAAATCTTCTTGAACCTAATCACTTTTTTCCCTTCTCATTTTCGTAGCAGTCATTTGAATCTCATGACATTCTAATGTTGTATTTATGTATGATTTGTGTATTATAAATAGTAAAGCACCCTCCCCTCGAGCATTAGGAAAAATGAAAAAAGGAAAGGGAAGACAACATACGATGGTTTGTATCATTAACTGCCAGTAACGCAATAGCCTCCTCCAACATATTGAATAACATTAGGGAACCTGCAAAAGGGTATTAAAATCAAATAACAGCAAACAATTCCAAATTTATTATAATACACAACAAATTTTGAGAATGATTTTAAGCAACCTTGAAAATAAAAAGATAAAATAGCGACACTTTTCTACGTTGAAATTGTGCAATCTATCTTTATCCATCAAGCACCACACAAGACTCCTTCCTTCCCTTTACCTTTTCATCCATCAAAAGTAACAGTAAACACCCTCCCCCCTCCCCTCAAACCCCAAAAGAATAAAAATAAATAACAAATAAAAAAATCCTAGGGAAAGTATTTCACCGCCCACCATCTTGAATTTATTTCTTCCTAGTATACATCAGCATAATACTAAAATCAGCGAGCACGTGTGCATTTTATATTCCTCTACTTTCAATTTGCACATACAACGTGAAGAAATAGGCCACACACCCCCACTTTGAACCATTCTAAAAGCATAAAGGGGAAAAAACATGACGTGCTCACATTGGAAATTGAAATTATACCTACATCATCAACACATTGGTGAAAAATAGCTCTATCCTTGAGAACCTAACTTGAGACTGGGGAAGTAGCATAATAATGAGAACGATTCCAAGAAGCATCCATCTATTTCATCTGCCTCTCCTGTGCTATGTGTAAACCTCACATGGCGACAAACAAAAGTGCAATTACGGCTAAAGATGAAAAGTAAATTTCATGGTATGATAGTCTAGATATTGCTTTGGGCCCTAACATAGAAAGTACAAATGCCCGTCCTTGGTTTAGAAGGATCTGACATAGAACGAAAAGAATTGTTTCTATATGTACAACAGATAGCAATCTCTTTTGACACAATTTACTTTCTTCACTTAATCCTCAATTATTTAAAAACTACGTAAAAATGACCAAGTAAAAGATTCAAGAAGGTGGTGATACCATCTCATCTAAAGGTTTCGCTTTTAGATTAGGAGATTCAACATGACATCCTAGTAGGCTAGGAAAAAGTCTAGGTTTAAGTGTTTTTATCACTCATTTATAAAAATTGTGCACGTGTTCGGTCTTTGACGACAAATATAAACCCAGACCCCCGAGAGGTAGCACGGCAATTACAAAAATTATAAGGAATATATTTGTCTAAGGACTTGACCTTTTATGAGATGGTTCAAGATAAATAAATGAACCAAAAAGAACAAATTTCAAAACTTTTGAAGGGGTGCATTTCAGCAAAAAATAGTAAGCTGTCAAAAATATAGGCATCTTTGCTTTACTCTCTCTTCTCTACTTCCACGAGATAAAAGAAATGGAGATTAAAAAACAAAAATGATGTGCTTCGAAAAGATAATTTAATATGTGTCCATTAATAAATACTGCATAAGAATAGTAAGAAAAATCTGTGAGGTTTTCAAGCATGAAGCAACGGTGTTCACCTAGATTCCAAGTATTTTATCATCATTTCCAAGATCAATTAGGAGCTGCCTCAGCTTGGCTTCAACATTAGAAAGGGCGAGGGTATCATGAACCCAATGAGCATTATAAGATGGTCCCTAGTTAATGTTGTTGAAACAAGTTATAAAAAGAGTCAAACAAATTCAAGCCATCCAAAGAACTCTAGGAATCTTAAAAGAAAGTTTACAATTGCAAAACATATTCGGCAAATGGCCTCATGATATCTAGTGGAATGAACGTGCGCTACATAGCATAGCGGTATCCAAAAATAATGTGCTATTAAACTAAAAGAATGTGCTATTAATTGTCAAATTCTTCATATTAGTAAGACCTAATAAACTAGAAGAATGTGCTATTACCATAATTTATATATAATTTCAAAAAATAATGCATAGCATAGCTGCATTCTCAGATGACTGGTATTTAAATTAATTAAGATGGATCTCCAATTAACTTGAAAGTTACTTCTAGTCAACTTTTTGTTACTTATTATAAACAAATATTTGAATTAGCACATAAACAAATCATCCACTCGCCTAGTGATACTTTGGCGGCGAATGCACTCCCTCAACATTACACCATAATGTAATGCCAAATCTGTATTCTCATATCTACACGATCCAATAGCAAAGTAAAATAAAGGTCAATCACCAGTTGAAGAAAATAAGCTTTTAAGTAGTGTTAGAAAACGGAGAGGCAAAAAAAAATTAACTGCAGCCTATTTGACTATGCTCGACAAAGACAAAAAGGTAACTTCTTAATGAGAACTCTCACCAAGGGCAATACCAATAAGGAAAGCAACAAAATAATACTTCTAATCCTCTCTTCAACCATAATCTAGTTACTTTTTTTTCATTGAGAGAAATATATATCTGCCACACATTTTTCTTCACAATAAATAATTTACCAAAAACATCATGTAACTGAATCAGGTGGGATTGAGGTGCAGAAATGGGTATTGCTCCACCATGATGGAATATTCTAGCAATTAAAAGCTAGTAGTATAATTATACCTTGAAATGGGGTCATGTTAAGATCCAAATATGTCAGTATAACTCTAGGAAGCCAAAACCAAAATTCTTCCTCTTTGATTTTCAACATATGCATACAAAAGTGAATGACCATAAAAGTTTTGTTATATTAATTAAACCAAGTTGCATAAGCTTTAGGGAAAGAGATGTAGCATAAAACGGCCCACTATTACATTGCAATGATTTATTATAAACCTTGAATTTCAAATCATTGTTAGTCAAATTGCTTTTTTAAGACAAGAATGCTGAAATTTATAATGGACATTCTGTACAAATAGCTTCCATCAAATCACATTTTGAAACCTATATTATGAAATGAACAATTTTACCATAAGACGAAATGCTTCAAATTTGATCTCTTGTGCAGTGTTATCTAAAAGGTGCATTCCCTTGATAGCCAATATGGAAACAGGCAATTCATGATTATAAGCTTGGTTGTCAAACTATTTAGAGCTACACTCTTTTCTCTAGCTTAAGATTAACTTGTGAGTGATCTTTACCATCATTTCCCTTAAAAACCCTAGTTGACATTGCCAACTCAATATTTTTAACCAACCCTACGTCATTTCTAGCATGAAAACGCTCTGAAAGAGCATATATTTGAGAATATAGAGATGTGGTAGCTAAAAATTAAGTCTTAGAAATTTGTAAGGCATATGACTGAATGTATTATACTTAATTTAGAAATGTAGATATCCCAATTTTCATGATTGCAGAGAAATCCTAAAATAATAAAAAATTCCAATACAAATTCTTAAGATATCCAATAATTGATACAAATAATAAAGAGCAAATTCTATACACATGACAAAATAATAATAATAATAATAATAATAATAACAACAACAACAACAACAACAACAACAACAATAAACAAAAATCAGCAAAAGGCAAAAATTGTCCTTACCAGATTGCCTTGAGGAGGAAGAACGTTCCAATACTTATAAATACAAAAGCTTGCAAATGGGAAAATTTCATATTAGAAAATGGTACACAATGCAAAATAAATAAATAAATAAAAATAAAAATGAATACTTTGGAAATTGGAAAAAAAAATTCTAGATCCTTTACACGAGTTAAAATAAATGCAACTTGTGAAGCCGTTTCAAGAGAAAAGTGATGTTTGTGTAGTGGGAAATCTGACATTGTACGAGCATTTGTCGCTTGCTTTTTTGTTGAGGAAGAGAATAAAATGAGAGAAAATGACAAAGAAAAAATGGGGTTAGCTGAAAAATGAAGGAAACCATTAAAATCTTAATATCTTACCAATACATTCGAAAATCAAATATCAAATCCGTGTGAGAAAAGTTAAGAGGTAATCAATTAGAGATGAACGAGGTATTTCGCATATGGGGATTACGATTTTCAAGAGGATTAAAAACATAAACTTGCTAAATAAAATCAGAAAAGCAAATCTATATATTAAAAAAAAATAAAGGGCTAAAACAAAAGCCACTAATAATAATAATAATAATAATAATAATAATAATAATAATAATAATAATAATGGGAGGGGAGCTAACCAAATCTATCTATTAAAAAATAATAATGGGCCAAAACAAACGCCACTACTTAAAAAAAAATAATAATAAATAAATAAATAAAGTGAGGGCAGCTACTCTCACATGGAGCAGCTGCTCCGTGCGCGCGAGAAATATTGAAAAAAAAAAATTTAAACACCAAGCCTATAGCAATAAACAAAATCCAACAACATATACTTCCACAGAAATTAGAGAGATTTTGATTTAAAACACGCATGCCATGCCTTCGAACATCATCTGGAAGGTATCTTCGAACAAGCATACTTCCACAGAAGCTAATTGACCATCATCTGGAAGATATCTTCAAACAAAATTAATACCATGCCTGTCTACATGAACAGTAATCAAATGAAAACTTAAAAAGAAAAATGATGATCAATTCAAAAGAACAAAAAATCGAAAAAACATACATGCATACAAATTAGAGAGATTCTTGATAATATGTGACCATGGAACTGCTCTTCTTGGATTGTATAAGACAGTTTGTGAAGGAGTTTGGTGTGTTGTAATTTTGGCTGGAATTGCAGCAACAATAACAAACTAAACCTTGTCTCTAGAAAGAGAGAGAGAAAATTGAGAAATCTATTTACAGTAAGAAAGAGACAGGAGGCGAGGTTATGATAGTGGGGATGGCAAGTTACGTGTCCAACCTTTATTTCACTCTTTTATATATGTAAGATTTTAAAAATTAACTGAGACAAAACTTGAATTTAAATGTTATATTTGGCTCTAATAACATGTTAACTCTTTCATCTAAAAATTTAAATATTAAAGTTATTAACTAAGGTCACATATATGCATTTTAATCTTCCCTTCAAAACCCTCGTGTTCTTATAGTAATGTCATTGCTGACACGTTTTATGTTTTTGTCTCTTATTACAAACTGGATGTCCTTTCTTTACATGAAGAATTTTAGCTTTAATGACTTCGTTATGAAACATGATTCTAATAAATAAACTGAGCTATGTCAATGAAACCTTTTGTTAATAAATGAAAACAAAATCAACATATAAATGCTTAAGATATTTATGTTAACGAGGTCGACTTTTTAATGTGTAACCTCAACACTTGTGTTCTTGTCGATGTCAAAGTTAATGACAAAAACCCGAGACAAATAATACAAGAAAAAAATGTTGCAAATAGTTACCGAATAAGCATGTGGTTTATACGTATGGGGTTTAATGATATTACATTTTAATGTGTCTAGTACAATATGGTGTATCAAAAGTAGTCTTGAAGAATTTCAATTGCCAACTCAAGTTAAATGAATAACATCCACAACATTGTCAATTCATGCCGTGAAATGTTGAATTACTAGTTAAATCAAATTCGTGTTTTCATGTCAATGGATTTGAACGTGGATAACCTTAATGTCCTCACGATTCTTGGATCTTCAACATTATTGCTTTTAAGTTGGGCCCAAATGTACCAATTATGTGTTAAACTGTTTAATTTTTGTGGACTAAACTAAGTTTTTAGTCACATGACATTATGCATTTGTGCTTGATGCATCAAATCGGGTAAATTATTGTCACTTGGAAGGTTATGTGCACGATTAAGACATTATCCTATCTAGGAAATGACATGCCCAAAATGGATATTGATAGGGGCCATTTACAATTGCGAAAATGTATCTCCAAGTCATTCCATACAACTCTCGGATGTTGATAATGTTAATATATATATAGGGAAAATTGCAGTCAAGGTATCAAACCTTTCGTTTATTAGTAGACTTTGTCCAAACCTTTCATTTGTGCCACCGTGAGTACCAAACCTTTGAAAAATGTGCAACTGAGATCCAAATAGATAGTTTTGTTAGTTTGACCGTTAGTTGACTCAATAAATTCACTTTGACCAATTTTATAAGGGGTAAAATTGTAATTTTGAATTAAAATAAAAAAAAAAAACCCAATCACTATTCTTCTCTTTCACCCCACTGCCATTCACAGAAAATAATCTTACATAAGACCAAGAAAATTGCAGCGGTGGGTGGCTACGTGTGAACCATCACTGCCTCCCACCGACGCTATCCCATAGCTAGAACTCTTCAACTGAATCATTTGGACCTTTCTTGAATTGCCTTTCTGCCTTTGACTGCGTTACCTACTGGAAATCATATCTGCTACCCATGGTGACGTTTTGTCGTCTTCGCTTTCTAGGACGCTCTCTTCCATCCTCCGTCGCCTCCGCAACATGATTTCACCTTCCGCTTCGCCTGTGTCGATGCGATAACCTCCATCGCCACACACGTCACAAAATCTCCGCCATTCTCAAGCCCCTTGTAGATACTATTTTGAACGAGTAAGACTAGAGCTCGCAGATCGGTGCTTCGCTCTGCCTAGCTATCGCAATGGAGGCAGTGCAGGAACAAACACGATGGAGCTGAAAATGCTGTCGCAAAGGTTGCTAAAAGCATTGTGAGTGTTGGTGCTCGTTCCTTGATGTAATAAGTGAGAGTTGTGAGGGAGAAAATGAATCGGGCTTTAGAGATTTGGAGAGATGTTCCAGCAAGAGATGAGGTGTGGGGTGGGTGTAGGAAGGAGAAGATGAACAATAAATTGCCTTTGATTTTTTGTTTTTCTTTTTTTTTTGTTTTTTTTTAATTTTAATTAAAAATTACAATTTTACCCCTTCTAAAATTGGTCAAAGTGAATTTATTGAGTTAACTAACGGTCAAATTAACAAAAATCATCCATTTGGACCTCAGTTGCACATTTTTTAAAGGTTTGGTACTTAAGGTAACACAAATGAAAGGTTTGGGAAAAGTCTGCTAATAAATGAAAGGTTTGATAACTTGGCTGCAATTTTTCCTATATAGAATTACATGATAATTTAACGAACAATAGATGGTGGTTATTATAACTAGACAATTAATTTAGACAGATAACGTTTTGTAATTTTTCTCCAATTTTGAAGTTTTTCGAATAACACCTGTCTCTCTATTCAGCATGATATTTTATTGGATGAGGATCGGGGTTGAATCAGAAAATTGGTCCATGTTCTAATAAATTGACCACTACATGTCATGGAACAATTGAAAAAATTCTAAGGTTATATCATTATTATTTTTACTCTAAACATATAATATATGTGTGTGTGCACAACTTCCCAATTTTTTTCTTAGAAATTTGTTAATGGAGATTTTGTCAATAGATTAATATTAATAAAGAAAAATTTTGTCGTGAAAATAATATCTATTGCAATATTATATAAAAATAAGAAGAAATCTTAAATTACTAAAGAAATATTAAAAAATAAATAAAACTAAATGCGTTTTCATCGATGATCAACAATCGAGTAACATCTAACAACATCACTTATAGAATTATTGTCTATAATTGAAGATGCATGTCACTCTTCAACAATTCTGTCGGGTACTATATATGATCCTGTTGATGATCAATTTTTATTTAAATTCTTTTTTATGATTATTTTTCAAAACATCCCCCACCCTACCCCAAAAAAAAACAAAAATTCTCAGGCAACAAAGTTATTTGAGCGACTTCTAGTTATAAACTTAATTTAGATTATTCTACAAAGTCTTCTTTCCAAACAGTTCTCTGCATTGTAATCCAAGTTTTCTATTGGCAATTAATCGAAGCACTTTACTCGGTCAGATGATGAACATGTTTAAAGCTAATGATATGTCAAACGCTTAAGCAGAACTTGTAGTCGCTTGTTCCTCCCTTGTTTCAATTATTCCGACATAATTACCCCATGTTTGGTACCAATTAAAATCTGAGTTTTAATTTAAGTTAAAGTCAACAATTAATTTTAACCACATATTTTATGGATCCCACAATTTTTCATCAACATATTTCTTCAACTTCTATCAAAATCTACTAGAAATCTAATTTTAATCTCCACCTAACACCGGCTTAACAAGCTGAATTGTTTTTTAACAAAGAGAAATAAGTCTGGCTTTTAAAGGATAAAGGAAAATTGCAGCAGCGGTCTCTAATCTTTTAGTTTTTTGCAGATTTTACCATAATCTTCATTTTATGCTGATGAAGGTCCCTAACTTTTCATAAATATGCACTGAGGTCTATCTGGATGGAAACCGTAAAAAATACCGTCAATTGACAGAGAAAAATCCTTGAAATATTTACTATCGCGACGATTTTATTGGATGTTGATACCTTTTTGGACGGTTTTATTAGATATTAATTCCTTAATTTTTTGGGTCAACTGTTGGTGTTTTGGACTGTTTCTATCCCGATGGACTTCAGACGCATATTTATGAAAGGTTATGAACTTTCACTAGTACAAAATGAATGTTAGGGTAAAGTCTACAAAAAATGAAAAGGTTAGGGATCGTTGATGCAATTTTCCCAAGGATTGGCTTACTTAGGACATTTATGCTATATGTACAGAATAAGGCTCACAGAAGTTTTCCAGATTAGACACATTAATTAAAATATTTTCAAAAAAGTCCCACGCACCCCCACCCCCACCCATGGTATTTGATCTGGTGGAGTTCCGTGAAAACCCACCCTGTACGTGTATCATCTCTCTACCTAGGATGGGTAAAGAAAGCATTGGATGACAGGTGACAGCGGTACATAAGTACAACATTGTTAAGTAAAAAAATGTTGGTGATTATTTCTAATCTAAATTTTCTACACCTAAGTTGTAGATGATTTGACTCTTTACTTAAATATTTAAATTCTTTTCATTTTTATTCTTTTAATTGTTATTTGTTTATGAAAATTTCACTTGCTAGATTTTTATCATGAAAAATAAATGAAAGTATTTTATCCATGAATATCGTGCTATGATTAAATTAATATAAATAAGTCTTGATTTGGGTTTCATTTTCTTCTCTTAAAATTCTTCATTTTCAATATCTCATAGAAAGAAATAGAAAAAGATACTTCGTCATAAACAAATTGAAATAAAAGAATAAAAATAGTTTTGATCATACATCTAGTAATCAATCAAAAGCATAGTTCTTTAAAAAAAAAAAGGATTGGAAGGGGGGGAAAAAAAAAAGATAAATATTCCAAACCCATTCCCGGCCCCCAAATTTTTCATCCCATACTAATGGGTTTTTTCAGCAAAAGTGACATGTTAAAGCACAATTTAAGGACTAACCGTTTTCCTCAATCTTACATGCTAATTATTGTTAGTATTCGAATGACCAAAAGTGGAGAAATCATTAACCTGAGGCATACAAGTGCACACTAATTTCAATTTTCTATAAAGTTCACATTAACTACAACGAAGTTCACAAACGACTAGTGGTAGATTCGAACACAATTTACTAATTAACATACCATATCGATTTATCTCATCTAAAGCTTAAATTGTTAAATTTATTTATTTAAAATCGTGTATTTTAAGCAAAAAATTATTCATCCAACAATTTTGCATGGAACGTCAAAGCCTTAGAGATAAATCGACCTGGCTGAGCTCTTCTTGAACATGACTATCAGCTTTATATTCCTTTTTCCACTGATAATAATTCACTTCTCTCGTTTCATTGCTAATATCAGTGGAACTCGATCTGGGCTGAAAGCTTGCACTTAGTTTTCTGGTTCTCTTGGCTAAGGTTCTCTCGAGTTTGTGAGCATTTTGGTGTCCTCCAAGAGCTTGTGAACTGTAAAATGTTCTCCGGTAGTAGTTGCAGGGGAAAACTTGGGGTTCGACTCTGAGCAAAGACAACGACGAAGAAGGAATAGATGAAGGGTTGGGTTCAGGGTCGAGATTGAGCTCGATTGCTGATAAACTCAAAGTGAGAGAAGGATTGGGTTCATAATTCATGTTGTGTGTTGAGTGGAAGAGCAGCAGCAGCAAAGAATTTGGCAAATTCAAAGAAAATTCGCTTAACCTAGTAGGGTTTTTGGCTTGTATAATAGTTGAAGACAAATTTTTGGCTAGTATGGGATTCATATGCTATATAGAAATACTCAAGAGTGAGAGGCTTTGACCATACTGTTGGGATTGGTTTAGGAAATTGAAAAATTTTGGTTTAAGTATAATTTGGAAAAAGTAACTTGGTGTCAACTTTGATCAAATATTTAGACATGATTTGATAGTCAAATTATAAAAATAAATAGACTAACTTGTTCTACTCATCGAGTAAATTGTCTTGATATATTTGAAATGACAAACCAATTTCGGATGAATGAGAAATTATAGTCCAAATTTGGGAAGGAAATAGGGTAGTTGGCTGGAAAATCCAACAATACCGTCACTCGCCTAGCGCTAGTTTGTCGCTGGAGCGACGGTCCAGCGAAGAGCGAGCAACTGTCTCACTGTTTTCGGGGCTCGAGTGATGCAAAGGCAGTAAGCGAGCGACAACAAATGCTATGACTCGTAACAAAGGTTGCTGAGTTTGGGCCGCTTTTCTACACTATCAACATTTTCCCTTCTATAAATAAGACTCTTGGAACGTTCATTTTTTCATTTCAATAATATGCAATCATAGATAACATTTTCTTTCTTCCTTTCATAATAAAATTTTGTATAAGTGGATTTTTTTTTTCCATATAAGGAGTACAAAAGCCAATTTATGTTTCGTTGTTCTTGTCTTTTGGAGTGCTACAAACACAATAGGTTAGTCGTTATATATTTAGAGTTGATTGTCATAATCCGTAAACACCGTTGCTAGATAAAATTGACTTTAAAGATAAAAAGTTTAACTCTTGCCTCAACTTTGCTTCATTTTCTGGCATATTCTTTGATGTTACTTTGTCCAATTTTAGGCAAAGGTTTGGCAAGGATATTTCCAGTTTTTGATGTCGCTCTCTACATTATTCTCCAACATATACATGCATATATGAGTTAATTTCAACTATCATCGTCATTGTATAGTTTGTAGGAATTTCAAATAATTGGCTGTTCAAGTTTTTTCTACTCATTATATCCCTGTTTGGTTTAGAATAAAAATAGATTTTTAGTAGTTATTGATAAAAACTGATAAAATATGTTATTAAAATTAATTGTTGACTTTAACTTAAATCAAGTGAATTAACGTCTGTTACTCTAGCTTGTCACATATTATATGTTAATGTTTTGGAATTGATTGATCAAATGATGAAAATATATCAACTTTATCGACTAAATTAAAATTTTGCACAAACTTCATGACGAAGTTAACCCATACATACATATTTTGTACATATAAACGACTGTATGTGTTGTTTCACTTGCACATTATATGCTAGCAACCTCTTTCGAATAAGAAGCAGACTATATGTATAGAAGAAGGGGTCATAGAATCCCTCCAGATAAGACACAGAAAGGGGGTGATTTTTATTTTTATTTTTTACAATAAAATATTCACATAGAGTCCCATATAAAAGTCCTATAAGCTTTCTGTAAAGGTTGTTTCTATACACAGGGAATTACTGTTGGAATAATCTTGCACTTTTAACCTATTTAGTGAGGAGAAAGTGTGAACAACAAAATAAAAAGAAGTCTCGAAGTTATTAAAAGTGACGAAAATTTTTATCCATCTTTTAGACATAGCACGGTGTCTGTGACACGGACAGTATTGGCAATCTTCAAAAATTCTACGGTAACTTTCTCTTATTATTGCATTTTTCTTGTTTCATTTATTTCTTTCAATGTACTACCCTTAGGATTTTTGTAATAATGGGGACGATAAAGGCATATGCATAGTTTGCCTGTGTTGGGAATTTACTTAATTATGTACGACGAAAAATAATTTACTTTTCAATTCTCATCAATGATTTTCTTTGTACTTAAATAGAAATTGTGTTTAGAATAATATCTTTAATAAATTATGCAAACTCCTTTACTTATCTTGAACACGAACAATTATGATATGCAATTTACAATTCCATTGTTCAATCTTCAATAAAAATTCATACAGGGAACAAGATTGGAGAACTAAGGTTTCCTTTTCTTGTGCTAACAAGAATATTAATTGTGTTCTCTTCAAAAATTTTAACCCTAGCAACCTATTCATATAAGCTCAAGTGGATTTGGTCCGTCTCTTAAACTTATCTTGATCAAACATTTAATTGGTCCAACTAATTAAATATGATCCATGAATTAATTAATCATATTAACAAGCAACAAAATTAATTAAGTGTCCAACAATTGTCAATCAATTAACTAGTAAATCTCATTCTTCTAGTTCTCATTTTGTGTGTGACCTATTAGGTTCCCGATCATGATATCGAATGACATTAATTATTATTTTGATATAATCAAAATCAATAAATTCACCAATTCACATTCGTCATTTTAAATTGACATCTAACAATGTATCAGAACAATATATGTGACAAAAAATGTCATGCGACATGACAAAACCTAACTTGTTTGTTTACCGTGAAATTATAATCATTTTGTCAATATGATTCAATCAGTTACGAATATGAATGTATGTCAATATCAATTATCGATTATATATTTCATCCCAATATTAAGCTAATGTAAGTTAAAAATTCATTTTCAGCTTATAAATAATCCTTGCCCAAGAATTTTGTTATCAATTTAACAAAAAGAAAATGTAAATCGTAATCTCTTATTATCTAAGAGTGACAAATCCTTTATTGATCATTGAAAACTTTCATATGATTCTTGACATGTTCGAACGATGCCGTATTAGCGAACCTTGGCAAAGAAACATCCAACATCACTAAAGTATGACCGTTCTCATGTAAGATACTATAATGATCTCAAGTCGAAGAACCAATTTCACTATCGAACGTTTGAGATTAACCACTGACACTCACATAATTATCGACATGGAATCTCCTCAACGGGTTTCCAATATTTTGTTTTATAACAAAATATCCACATGTTTATTTAAGTGTCACTACAATTTAGCTTATGAGATCAACTACTTACTCACAAGTAAGACATGCCACACGTGATGGTTTATCCGTAATAATGATATACATAACTTGTTATTAATTACAACCATTGGTGATTTAAAAATCAGTCATATATAATTTGTATATCAAATCACAACTCCTTGTGATTAATCTATTACTAAGATTTGAATCTACAGACTCTATTATTTAATTTAATTGAATATTAATTAAATAATAGATCTGCTATAAAATTGCATCAATTATACATTAAAATTGTTTATATCTAAAGTTGATTAGACTTAGGGCAAAACACTTACATGCCGCACGTCAATATAGCAACTTAGAATGTCGGATCAATTATAGCAGTAAGTAGTCCAAATATAGGGCTAAC